ACGGGCGCCCGGTGCTCGGTTTGTAGGCAGTGTAATTAGCTGATTGTACTCTGGTGCTTACAATCACTAATTCCACTGCCATCAAAACAAGGCACAGCATCACCCGCCGCCCCGCCGCGAGGAAGACGCCACCCTCTGCGGCAAACCGCCGACGCCGAGCGTTTGAGAGGAGCCGGCTGCGCTTCGAGATTTGATGCGTCAGCATTTAGCGCTGCTGGCCGAGCACGTTGTCAACGTGCGAGTAGCCTCTGCAAACTCCGGCGGGCTGCTGATTCTAGATACAGTTACACTGTTAACTATCTCTAGGGGTAAATGCAAGATTGTGCGATCGCATGTTAAGGAAAGCGAAATCTGTGGTGTTTAAATGGCTTTAAGACGTTGAAATTGCTGGCTGGAACCCCCTATGTAACGTTTAATGCTGTATGCTGTGATTTATTGCACCTCTTTTTTATTATGTAGTAGCGTATTCACCAACCAATCAACTAAAGTGAACTACAACTGAATCAATGATTTGCCTATCACAACATAATTATGGGGCACCAACCTGAGACTGCAGTTTGTGATAAACCTTTATTTTTTCTGTGAGTCTAGTTACTAGGCAGTGTAGTTAGCTGATTGCTGATAGTACCAATCACTAACCACACGGCCAGGTAAAAAGATCTGGAAATTCAACCAGATGAGCTGCCTGTGCATATTGAGGTGTTTGGGAATGTGTGTATTTGGGGGTGGGTTGGAAGTGAAGGTTGGGGATTGGCATTCGCTAATATCACCCATTGCCTATTTCTCATTGCTCAGCCAAGAGAGAAGTCAACATTTTGGTTGCTAAATATACAATGTATGTAATATATCTTATGTGTCTCTTTATATACAATTTTTCAGTATTCAGGTTCTGAACCAAAAATTTTTCAGATATATTAGGGAACAGGATATTTTCCTGAGCTGTCATTGTATAGATTTGTGATTAGCAACTTTTGAATTATCTGTGAGGCTGTATTAATATCTTGAAAAAATAGTGCCATGAGGTCACTATGAAAACTATAAGACACTAAGGAAACTAAACTGTGATTATTACCGTGTGTCCATTTCCTTTCCTAAGTTGGTTTTATGACATGCATCTCAATTCCTGCCACAGTAATTACGACTTCCCTAACACTGAAACGGTTAAATTGTTCCTAGATTAACAATCTCCCAGGAAAGCTGTGCATGCACACTTGTTAATATTGTTATAAGAAGGCATTAACACATTTTTTCTAGTGTATTTTTCATGAAGGAACTGAGTACTCATCAGATGTATTTCTTTTAAGTAATCATTTACAACGAAGTCTGAGCAACTTTTAGTGGGACTGAGAGTGACATTACACTCTAAATCGAGCTTCTTTCTGTAAGATTGGTTTTAAAGGATTCGGAGGGGGAAATGTATAACAAAAACGCTAACAGGGGTACCTATCAGCGGAGTTCACACCTTTAGCTCCCATAGGCAGGATGTTAGCTACCGTAGTGAATTCTCCAACGTGTGCAGGCCCAGAACTTCCCCATAGTAGGTGCTGAGCCAGAGCAATCTGGTGTGCAAAGGGGACTGGGGCGGTGGGGCTAAGGAATTGAAAGCTTTATTTAGATATATTTCGGAGAAAGGAAGCTGGGCGGGGCGGGGGAGGCGGGTGGAGGCGGAGGTCGGTAGAAGGCTGACTGAGGATATAAGAGAGCTAAAATGCTTCCCCACTGACTCCCAACAGGACAACACCCCCCGGGTTGATGTTTTGACTCTTATCTCGACTCCAAGGCTTGGACTGGTCCCGAAGCCTGTGATCACTGCAGAAGTGCGCTTCAGGTGGCCCACAAGCGCGCGCTGAACAACCACCTCCACCGAGGAAACTGAAGGCTTCCGGCCTAAGTTGTTGCCAATTTAGCGGGTTTCCGGGTGGGGGTGGCGCGGGGGCGGGGCTGCGAGGAGGGCGAGGGAGCGTGGAGAGGCGTCCTGGGTTGCCATGGAAACGAGGCTCCGCAGCGACCCAAGCAGCGGAAAGGAGTCCTTTGAAACTTGCCACCAGGGATTACTGGTGTTCACCGGCTCTTCGGATCTAGATGCCAAGTTGGCCAAGCAGTTCTGGGCCGCGGCGTCCCTGTATCCCCACAACGAATCTCAGCTGGTGCTGTCCAGAGGCAGCAGTCAGCGTCTGCCGGTGGCGCGGCCCTCCAGGAGCAGGGCGTCTGGTGAGTGGCTGCTTCCTGTCGACGCTTTCTGCCTCCTCCAAACCGACCTGGAAGATACCAGAGCCCCTCCTCGGAGAAACTGCCGGACCTAATTCTAAAATAAGAATCTTTCATTGCAGATGGCTAACGCCCTATACAAATTGCTCTTAAACCTTCTCAGCAATCCTTCCACCCAAAAAGGATCAGACATATCTTTGTTGCATCTAAAAATACATCTTAAAATATCCCTTGAGTTATGACATCTGTTTGGCTTAACGGTATAGCATAATCTGGGCAAATGTTACATGTTGGCTGACAGGATACTAAGAATGGTTGTTCACATAATTGAGTTCAAACGTGAAAGCCGTAGAGAAAGTTGAAGGCAGAGTCAACATTAAAAAACCAAGTTCCCTGACCTGTAAGGCCTAAGACGTGGAAACTGTTATGCAATTTTTATAGGTATGGAAAGCTTAAACATCTTTAATGCTGTGGTTTTTCCAATAACTTCTTTACTTCCCTTTTGTATTTTTTAGAGAAAAGTTACGTCCAGCCTTTCATCCTTGAGAAAAGCAGTAAGTACCAAGTTTTATGCTTTTCAACATCCTGATTCCTAGATTCTTCAGAAAATAAAAAGGATACAATATCACACTTTGGCATAACTTCCTGAATTGCATACCAAGACCCAGCCTCAGGGACCACCCTATTTATCCAGAGCAAAATGCCTAAAATCCTACAACACATTGAATAGGAGTGTAGAAATTGGAATTTCTGATGCTGCAAGTATGTTCTCTTTAGAGACCTTTTCTTGTCTCTGGACTCAGGCTACCCATCTTCTAAAGAGGTTAGAGGTTCCCTGCAGCCATACCTAATCGATTCAGTCTCCAATTGTTTACAAATCTGGTTCATAGTTGAAAGGTAGAACGTAGTTGTGTTTACCTTCCTGCTCTATGTATTACCTTTTAACCTTTATCCAATCTTATATCAACAATATTGTAAAATCATGATAACGTTATTTCATATTGAACTTGACTTTATTTTCTTTAGAGAGTAGAGATGTCACTGCTGAAGCTCTAAAGACTCAGGAATCTGAGGAGAAGAAAAAGTATCTCCAAAAGGTAGGCCAATATTTCAGAAGGTCATCTGATTGTTATTAAAAGCTCATTATTATTTTCTAAGTCATCCCAATTATTTGTTTAACACAGGTGTATAAAAATGTTCTACTTCTGATGTATCAGCTTAAGCAACTGGAAAATCTTTAATAGAATTTGAATTGAAGGTTAAGAATTTCTATTAAACTTTGGCTATTCTCAGTCTGTGCAAAAGCCCAAGGATGTGTAAGAACAATAAATCAAAGGAAAGTGGGGGAAGATGGATTCACACAATTCAACCCAATAAGGCCCCAAACCATATACAATGTTCTAAGAACAGAAATATTGTAAGAACAGGAAAAAATTGAATAGAATTGGCTGTCATAATAAGTCAAAATTAAACGAGTTCTCATCTAGAACCATTTTGACTAAAGGCTACAATTAAACACATTGGTGTTGTCATATCAACTGAGCATGTCTCTTCTTGGCAATATCCCATGTTTGCTTTTCTTGATGCAGGCACTACCTTTAACTCAGCAATTAGTACAGTGATTTATAGAAACATTTTGTTTGGTTAATGGATAAATTCCATTCCTGTAACTCTTCCTGTACTATAAAAGCAAAGATAGAAGATTGGTCTGGCCTAATGTCTTTCATCATCGGATGTATTGGCAAACTCCAAAAGGCTTATCGGGAATTCTACATAAATTACAGAACAATGCATTTGAGTTTGCTGATCACATTAGTTCCCTCTGTGGACTCTTGGTGATGCCTCCAAACAAATTAAGTGATTAGAAATAGTCAGCATTTCCTTCCCTCTTTAGGCTATAAGGTACTATATGTTTATATCAGAACTTAGTGGGGGAAAGGAGCCTAATAGTCAGTGAGGCAAAAATCATTAAAAATCAACTTCTTCGGTACTTTTTCATTTCATTTTTGGAAGGGACTGGAAATAAAAGATTAAAGACAAAGTATTATCAAATTGTATCATCTTTTGTCAAACGATTAAGACAATATGATGGGTTAAAGTGGATGTTCTGCTAATGGACAACGAGAAGTCTCAGAACTGATTTCCTTGCCCCAGGTTCTTCTATTATTAACTACTTAATTAATTCCCAGCTATCTGTGGAAATCCTGCCATGGCCAAGTACAGTACGAGATGCTGGGAATGCAAAGATAAGACGTGGTCCCTGACCTCAAGGAGCTTATAATTTGGTGGGGGAGAGTGCCAGTTAAAGACAAGAATTATGATACATTATTATGATAGATGTATGTGCCTCATATCATGGGAACACACTGAAGGACATCAAAATCAAGCTTAAGGAATCAAGACATTTTCCCAAAGGAACTGAGTTTCAAAGAACGTATAGAGTTGACCAAAGAATATGCAAAGCAATCCTCCATTTTGCACTAGGCATCTTCCTAAAACCCAAATCCTTTCTGCTGCTTCCCTACTGTATGTATTAGTCTCCTAGGGCTGCATAACAGAACCGCACAAATGAGGTGGCTTAAATAACAGAATTTTATTTTCTCACAGTTCTGGAAGTTGGAAGTATGAGATCACAGTGCCACCAGAGTTGGCTTCTGATGTAGCTTCTCTTCCTGGCTTAGAGATGACTGCTCGCATCCTCACATGGCAGAGGGAGAGAGCTCGGGTGTCTCTTTCTTCCTCATCTTATAAGGACACCAGTCCTCATATATTAGGACCCCACCTTTACGACTCATTTGACTTTAATTACCTCCCTAAAGACTGTTTCCAGATACAGTTACACTGGGGGGTTAGGTCTTCAACATAAGAATTGCAGGGGCCAAGGGGTGGGAACGACACAATTCAGTCCACACACCTACTTTCACTTTTACCCCTGGCTCTCCATTTCTGCAGAATCAAGACCAAATCCTCCAGCATGGTATTCAAGTTCTTTTCCAATCTGCCCATAGCCTGAATCACTTCTCCCTACCACTCTCCTCCTTCCCTTCACCCCACCACTACCCCCAAGGCAGCCTCCTCTGTACAGCTGGTTCTCAACCACTAGACTAAGGCACACTGTGCGCCACCCCCATATATGCCACCAAAGTGGTGAATGGATAAAGTGTATTTTTGCTCACCCTAAACATACACACATTACTCTGTGATATCTGCCAACTTGTATATTAAGTCGAATGGTTCCTGCAGTGCAGTATATAAGATGATTCTATTTGTTGAGAATAGAAGATCAGAGGCCTAACAGAACAGCAAGCCAGCAGGGCAGAAAGAGAATATTACTAAAACTGTGCCTTGTGAGTATATGGGTGAGTTTAGTCAGTACAGCACAGTGCAGTTCTGTTCAAACGATGCCATGGTGAAAAAGCAACCGAGAGAATCATGTAATAACTGAATGCTCTTACAGCTCTCCTCCGATATTCCTGTGATGTAGTGCTCGTAACACCCAGTTTAGCGAGTGCACGTGATGTGCTGTGTATTCTAAGCTAAGCGCTGTGCGTGTATCCACTCGCATCCTCCTTAAATAGCCTCATGATGATTATTCCCATTTAATCTAACACAGCTTACATGATTTTCCGAAGTTTCCCCAACTGGTAAGTGGTGGAGCCTAGATCCAAAGCCAATCTCCAAGTAAAGCCCAGGAGATTCATTGTATTGTAATGACTGCCAGCCGAGGCAGTGTTCAGGTATGCTGCCAAATATTCTAAAATTCAAGACTGTGGTATGAATTCAAGTATGAGAAATGCTGTTTTCAGCCCTGTGGGACTGTAAGCCACAAACCTGCAATGCATTTTTATGTCTCTGCCTAAAATGCTCTCCCCCATTTACCTTCAAGGCCAAGCTCAGGTGCAATTTGTCTGTGAAGCCGTCCCAGAGGTGACCTAGAGACAAGAGAATAAATAGCTCCCTACTCTGTGCTCCCATAGCAAGTCACACACACCTCTCACAGTATCGGCCACAGCCTCCCATCTGCCTTATGGCTAATTGTGTATGTTTCTGTTTCTGGCTAGCATATAGGCTCCTCAGTGTAGTGGACTTTGGAGACAGCTGGGTTTGCAAGTCTGACTCTGCCACTTCCTGAGTGACCCTGAGTAACCTATTCAACCCCTGTGAGGCTCAGCTTCCTCAGACAGAGAAGGAGGAAAGATAAAAATCCCACCTCATAGAGGTGATATGATACATAAAGGCATCACTCGCTCTCAACAAACATTAATTCTCTTTTCCTGCAAGAGGGCAGAGGTCATTTCTTATTGCTCAACCCTGATGCTTCTCTGGTTAGTGAAATTCAATAAATTTTTGTTGATTAAATAAATACATAATTGAATCAATGAATGAATGTATGCTCTACACAGTGATAATGTTGTTTTGTTTAGCCTTTTCCACGTATATCCATCTGGAAAATTTTTCTAGGCTGATCATTTTTACAAGAATACTCCTCAAAGCTAAACTGTTCGCAGGTCTCCTTTAGGACCAATTTAGTGTATCACCTCAGTTTTGCTTTTACCTCAGGGGTCTATATATGATGAGAGGAAATGTGACTCCCTGTAATTACTAAAACATAGAATCTATTTTTGAATTCCACTGTTTTCCTGTCTATGGTACTCTCTCTGCTGGCTGCCACCACTGCTTTAGAATTTTTTAGCTTGATGGCAGAATATAAATGGAGGTGGGAGGTTCTCTGTAACTAATAAAACATTTACAATGATCTATTTAATTTAAGAGAATCTTCTATATGTTTTGAACATATACACTGAGAAGTAAATTTCTGGAATAATTTTCATTCTAAGAGAGGAAAAAATATTTTCCCATCAAGTCTCTTAAAGCTTTTTTTCTTCCACTTTCTCCTTAAAATTAATGAAAAATCTAAAAATGTATTTTCCATCTCTTCTGAAAGTACCTTTATAGCTTTTTCTCCCCAACTGATATTGATTTTTCAGTTGTTGAACTGTTTTTAAACTTTGATGTTATCTTCCAGTTTGGAATATTTTCCAGGTTTGTATTATAAATGCTTTCGGTTAGTGGACAGAATGCTATTAATCACAACTATTTCTGTGATGGATATCCATGGCAGAAAATCAAAAACAATTTGAGTCTGTCGAGGTTAAATGGCTTACTCTGTCCATAAAGGAAACCTTATAGCACTGTGCTGGACCATTATTCTTCCTCTGAGAGTTCTAAAGTAGTCTGAAAACATTATAATAAATGAATAGTCAGCTAATTCTTTGAAATCATAAAACTTCTTTGCTTTTTAGTTTTGCCACCTTTAAGAAAGCTCTTTAGCTGATTATCTCTTTATGAAAAGAATTATAAATAATTCATTTGCTGGGAGAAGCAGGAAGAGATCAGAGTAGTATTTTAGGGCATATGTATAGATGACATACTAGGAAGTGCCCATCTGGAATTAAAGTTTTAACATGAGTGAATATAAATGAAAGGCTTTTCCAAGGAGAATATGCGATCTGCAGAACAGCAATACAGATACACTCTGTACTGGGAATGAGGTTCAGTCACACAACCTGTACAACCAGGGCTGGCCCTCGTGTAAGTCTGCCTCGAAAGTGAGTTTGCTCTATGGCACACCCATCAACCAGAGCCAGTTGTGCTATGATGAGAGCACTCTTAGAAGAAGAAGAATCTAAGGAGCTTCATGAAGCTGTGTTTTTAGGCACCAAATCATGAAGGTGGGAAACTGTAACGTTATCCTCCATTATCTTACATTTTAAGAGGGGTGCTCAGAATCAGTGAATCAGTTTTGTAGAGCCAATCCAAGATGTAAGGGATTTCCTCGCTGTCATTGCCAGGGTGCTCAGATCAAAATCCTCTTTGGTGTCAAATTGCCCAGTATTGGCTTCCCAGACAAATCCAAATCTTCTCAGTAACAGTGTTGTCTGGCTTTGTTTTAATTTTGCTTTCCTGCTCTAATGTAATAATAACAAAGTTCCTGCACCTCCATAGAACAAATACCATGAGGAAGTGGTGGATCTCTTCTTCACCAACAAAAATCCTTGTTTAAATTCTTGTTGTTCGCAATTTGTCAAAGAATTCAAGTGGAAGAATAATAAAAACAGACTGTGCATTCACAGTAACAAGCAAATATTTTGGTAGCAAATGATAATTGAAAGCTTGTATAAATATGAATTACTCTGTTATATCCTCTATTGTACCACTTTGTTTTCAAACATTATTCAATTCTGGGAAACATTTTCAGTATAGATGAAGTTCCCCTCTTAGTCTTCTTTAGTAACGTCTACAGTCCCTAAAAAGACACTTGCGGTAAGAAATGAGATTTGAGATCAAATAGCTGAATTCATTGGCCCAGACAGACCCAGGCCCAGAGTTGGATCAGGTCATGCCCCAAGTGCATCTCATCCTTTTTTTCCAAAGATCTATATACTTTATCTTCTGTATACATTCACCTTAAGAACAAAGGAAAAGCATTTTAAGCCCTACAGTACGATTAGGCAAGAACCCATGCTATCTGCTTGCAAAACATGATTAAATGAAACACTTGAACACAGAATGAAGCCAAAAAGGATCACACACTTTTAAAAATAAAGGCAGAACTGTCAACTGGATTCCAGCTACATGAAGCTTTATTGTTCAAATTAGTAAACACCTTCTAAGCAGTAGGGCAAATCAAACAGGGTTTATTGAAGAACTGGATTATTCTGTGGATCAAGTAACTGGAGAATAATTACAGCACACCTGAAATCACAGCCAAAATCTGCCTTTTCCCGTTGCCTCCACCAAAGGCAGGATGAAAAGCTCTGCAGAGAGGTTACGTTGGGGCCAGGTAGTTAAACAATTTCTGTATCTACACGCGCTCCATCATTTTATTGTTTTCTATGATAAGGTGTTTTAGTCACATGAACTGTGGTTAGGAATATCCTCAGAGCCATTTGTCCATTTGGCTCCTGAGATTATGCCGTTCCCCAAGCCACCGTGTTGGTGATATTGTCAACTGTCATGATTCACGATTCTGTATTTGCAAACTCACTTACTAGCTGCAGTTTATTTGTAACCCCCAAATCAATACTCATAGCACTTCCGTTGGAAGTTATTGGAGGACGTTCACAGAGTGGTGAAAAATTTGAATTTTTCTAGCTGAGGTTGAACAAGGCGATGTTCTGCCTTCCAGTTTCAGCTCTCGTATTGTGAACATGTTTCCTTTCTACACTTTATTTGGTGCCACGGTGTTTGTTTTTTTTTTTTTTTTTATTATTTAGCCTCCAAGTGCTGAAGTACTGTCTGGTGTTCCTAAGTGTAAGAAGGTTGTGGTGTGCCTTACAGAGAAAATACACGCGTTGGATAAGCTTTATTCAGATATGAGTTATAAGTGCTACTGGCCGTGAATTCAATGTTGACGAATCAACAAGGTATTTTAAAGAAGCTGTCTTTAAAGAGAAACCCACATAAAACAAGGTTATATACTGATCCATTGACAAAATGTTGTGACCATTGTCACTCTGTGACATTGAGTCTACCATTTCTTCTGCCTGGAAATGCCTTTCTCCCATTTCTCTCTTTAGCTGATGCCTACTTGTAGTTAAAAACAATGCAAAAATAGTCACATTCAAGTCTCTCCTTACCCTTACATATTCCCCGGTTTAATGCAAATGCCCCTTCCTTTGTGCTTCCATAGTACCCCGTGCATTCCCCCAGCACAGTCCCTGACACACAGTCCTGTGGTGTAGTTGATGTATTTCTCCTGCAGGCTCTAAATTCCTTAAGGAAAAAGATCATGACTTCCTTGATTTTGTAATCACAGCACTGACAAATAGTTGATGCTCTCCTAACCTACCAAATAAATGCTTATGAGTGAACTTTACAGAATGTTTGCCCAAAGCAGCTGAAAACGTTGTAGCCTTAATAAGAGATACAGGCAAGGTCAGGATCAAAGCTGAAGAGGCAGTGTCAAGCTCAGGCATGAAGGGCTGAGCAAAGCCATCAACAGTAGGATGAGCCCTGGAGCCAAAAGTTAGAAGAAACTGATTTAGAAAAATTGTGCAAGGTGCATTCAACAAATATTTATTGAGAACCTCTACGTACCTGGCACCATGCTAGGTACTGGAGTACAATCATGAACAACAACAAAAAACGTGTTTTAAAGATACAAACCCTGCCCTTATCTGAAACTTGCAGTCTAATCAGGGAGAGAGAGATTTATGAAAGAATTATACATGATGTTAGAAGAACATTTAACATTTTGTGTAGCAGTGTGGATCCAATCAAGGGAGTCAGGGAGGATTTCTGCAAAGATGAAGCTGAGATTTGGAGGAAGAGTGGGCGTTAATTAAGCCAGAAGGAGGGGAGGAGGGAGCATTAGGAGAGCATTCCGGATAGCAGAAACAGCATCGCGCATGTCGGAAGCTGAATGGCCAGTGTGGTCATGGGACGGTCAGACCATGGGAAGAACCATAAGAAGCCATTGAAAGGTTTTAAGTTGGAGGATGATAATATCTGATTTGTTTGAAAAAGTTCAGGAGAATGGATTGAAAGTGGCCAGAGCAGAAGCAGAGACATCAAAGCAATCATCCAGTTGGGAGGTGATGGTGGCTTGGATGAGGAAAAAGTAGTTTTAAGAGATATCTAGAAAGCAAAACAGGTAGGACTTGAGTTGTGTATTGGATACGGAAAGTAAGGCTTGCCCAACGGGATGGATGGTGCCATTCTCTGAAACAAGGAACGTTAAATGAATGTCAGCTGTTAGGGTATTTTTTGGAGAGGGAAGGGGTTAGAAGGTCAGTTTAGACTCATGGAGTGTGAGGTGCCTTCAGATAAGCCAAGATAAGTCTATTTGAGCTGTCAAATAGGCCTGTGAACATATGGTGCAGAGATGAGATAGAGTCATCTGGATGGAGGATCCCGCACCCCCTCCTC